CACATGTATTGTTGTATGTATGTAATTATATATACATGTATTGAATACATGTGTATTGAATATTAAAAAGATTAAATATTAAATACACATGTATTCAATATTTTGTGTTACTAGGGTATCTTGTAAGTATATTTTTAATTGTATTGAAACGTAAACCCTTCAATGTATCAATTCGAACATAAATAGAGTTAGGCCACTTTCCAAATATGTTTTAATTTAAAAAATGATTTGACAAAATTCGCCACAATATCAAATATAACTATTAACAAAACAAAACAAAAAATAATAATAAGATAATCATAATATTTACGTATGAATACAATAAATAAGATTATTCATAGAATCATGTTTGTTTGAACGAAAAATATAGTTTAAAAATAATGATTTGAAAATGTATCAATATATACAGTTAACAACATATGAAATAGTTATTATTAGTAAAATAACGTATATTGAAAAAGAGATTGGGATTTGGACGATCCAAATTTATATCATATGGTTTATGGTTTCATTGTAAAACGTAACTCGTTGTTTCACCTACTCGTTTCCCTTGAGAGAGAGAGAGAGAGACCAGGGTAAAAACGGTTTAAAATCGGGCGTTATATTTTACCGTAACACGCGTGCTTCGATCCTTCTTTCGTCTTATTATTCTCTTTCTCCTTCTTCTTTTCTTAAAAGTCGTCGGTGAGCACGTACGACTCGTACTAAATGTTCCTCTTTGTTTTTCTCGCGACACGTAATGCGCGCGAGCGCGCGCGCGCGTGCACATCGTGGGGCTTTTAGTTTCTTCTTTGCAAGGAGGCCACGAAAATCGAGTAGTCACGTTCAAATTTGAAAGAAAAAGAGAAAAGAGAATAAGAAAAAAAAAAAAATAACAGCAGGAGAAAAGAGTTTGACACACAATGAGGAGAACAACGATATATTGCATGATTATTATATCGTATGTTATAAATAAAAATTTCGAAATTAATATGAATAACGAAATATATATATATATATATATATATATATAAGTCTCTTTCAAAAAAGAGACATAATATATTTTATTATGTAACTTATATTTATTTATTTATTTTTTTTTTTATCGTGTATTTCCAATTGTTTTTTTTTTTCATCATTTCATTACGGATTAATTCATGTAAAAATCCGTTTTATATGAAATTTAAATTGTTAGTACAAAAAGAGAAACACGATCGAAATTTTACTGTACAATTAATTGTACTTATACTTATATTAACAATACATTTAAAATTCGATATACCAATACGTATATTCGATCATTCGTATATGTATTATGTTATATACGTATATGCATTATTAAGCAATCGCAGTCTTGCGTTATTTAAATTTTCAAATTGATGCGATTTCAATATAAATTCAATAGATTTTTTTTTTGTTTTCTTGTAATACTTTGTTTCTAAAGAAATCTTTTAGATTCTTTGGGGAATGACTGATGGAAGGGGGAATGAAATTGTCGTTTGTGTAATAGATACGTTTAACGTTTTCTGATTTATCGGCTAATCTTCTTCCAAAAGATCCTCATCTTCCAAATTCACGCCCTGAAATCATAAATATATTTCATTTATAAATGTATACATAGAATTATTGTATATGTAACAATTATACACAGTGAATGTAGAAAGTATTCGTACACTGATCAATTTGAAATAAAATGTTGTTAAATTGTTGTTTTTATAAACGATGAAATTTATACATATTCTTGAAAGTCTCGAATGTAACGAAACAAAATCTGATGGACACTGCACTGTATGGAGGAAAAAACAAATGAACAGCTAAAACCAGAAAACTTGCGACCCACAGTGAAACACGGTGAAGGTTCTGTACTTGTTTTGGGACTGCATGAGTGCAGTTGGTTTGGGCATGACCATGATACCCCTTCATTTCGCAACAAAATTACCTACAGTACTAGCGGATGTATCAATATTTCAATTATTTTTAAGATGTTCGACTATTTTGATAGCACTCATCTTTGGATTCTGTTTTATCATACTTGTGATAACTCGTCCAGTGTACCGATTAATTTTCCGTGAACGTCCATTTCTTGAATTATTTTACAGTTTCTTTCTTAATCCATACCTATCAATGATACTTTGTACAGTAAATCAAGGTCTGTTTAGAATTCACGATATTTCTAATAAACATTTACATTGATTATGTAAATAAATAATCATTTATCTTTCTTCTATCGTTGTTTGCACACGTTTTTGTTCCATTTTCCAACAATAATTTTCGATCTTAAAAAATTTTGAACTCAACTGATGCCGAGGGTTACAAACATACTGATGAGGTCAATTATAACTGGAAAGTAATTATGTGTGTGTGTGTGTGTGATGTGTTTATATTATGGTTTATGTATGAATTCTCTTGTAAATAGTTCAAAATAAAAAACTGTATAAATAATTTATTCAAAAATATTATTTTTTGTCTCATTGTACCTATTGTAGAAACTGTAAAGAACATGTATGTGTGAACATGTATGATTATACATATTAATGTATAATGTATGTTATGTATGTATAATATATATGTAACATGTATTAATATTGTATTAATATTAATATTGTTTAACATGTATTATTAATGTATGTAATTTTATTATACATGTATAATATATTTGTTTATAAAAAAAAATTAGTAATTATTAGTAAAAATAAATAAACTACAATTTCACAACATTTTATTTCAAATTGATAGCTGTATAAATATTTTCTACACCCACTGTATATACTTTCTGTAATAAAATTTCTAAAAAACAAATTCAAAAA